GAAAGAAGGAAAGAAGGAAGGAAAGAAGGAAAGAAGGAAAGAAGGAAAGAAGGAAAGAAGGAAAGAAGGAAAGAAGGAAAGAAGGAAAGAAGGAAAGAAAGAAAGAAAGAAAGAAAGAAAGAAAGAAAGAAAGAAAGAAAGAAAGAAAGAAAGAAAGAAAGAAAGAAAGAAAGAAAGAAAGAAAGAGGATATTAGAAGCAGAGAGAGAATGAATGGTTTATTAGTAAGTGCTAGTGCATCTCTAGGGTGTCTGTCTACCTACAAGAATTTCATTTAAATTGGGTTTAAAATGACTTAGTAAAAAAATGGTGCCAATAGCCCTGTGGATAATATTTCTTTATCAATTTACCTGCTTATGAATTTATCAATATCAGCCGGGTGATAAAAAACACATTTAACGCAATGTCAAGGTGTTCATATGAACAGTTTTACTGATACACAGTCATTAAAAAGAACAAAACACATTGCAACTTATAGGTGAGAAGCACTCACAAGTGCTTCAGATTTAGACTCAGTGTTCAGCCCACAGCCACTTACATATGCACAAGTTCCAACATCCTTTGCAATTATCTTCAGGGGAATACTTTTAGGATAGTCTTTCTCCTTCTCTTCTCTTATTCGACTGACAAAATAAATACATAAAAAAGAGTAAAATTTTAACATTATAAACTTTATAAAATACAAATTTCATTTTTAAGCAACCCCACAAGTGTCCCGAAGATCTGTGTCTGCCTCCAGCTCCATCGTCCCCTTGGCCCTTCTGCCATTGCCCCCTCAGGAAGACTCTGTAGGCTCAGGAATTTATGAGCCAAAAGTTGGATCTCGGGAGCCGTACGTCATTTCCCCACCAACCTTTGGATGATTCACTAAAACAGAGAATTTACATCCTGGAACAGCGCATACGAACAGAATTTAGAGGCTAAAACCTTGCGATCATGACACTTACTTATGAAGGATATAAATTCTAGAGTAGGGCTGTTGCACAAGAGAGGTTATATAAGGAGGCCTAACTATGAATAATGGGCTGTAGTGAAGAAAGGACGCATTTAAACAAAAAAAATAGAGAAAAACTACCTAATGTTGTGATGCCTTAGGCTGCACTATAACCTCCTAGTGGAATGAGTTACAGCCCATCACACAGAACAGCTCAARGAAGTGAAGAACAGTGATTTAGAAATCATCCCCAGCAAGAATGATTTAAACAACCCTCTGTTGGGATATTCCACTTATTTGTTTAGGAGTATTCCMAAAAGAAGAACATATTAAGTACTAAGAGGACCTTTGGGACACAAAACACTGTATAAATACTTTAAATTCATTTGCCTTTAAAAAGATAAAATAAATCAAGAACCAGATAAGGACACAAATCACAATTAGCAGAACTAGGTGTCGCCAGCAGTTCTGGGTCCAATTCTGGCTGAACTGAGACACATCTTTTTACTCAGACACTGTCACCACACCTTCTGGCTCGGGACATGTTTTAGGAACATGTGCTTTTGTAAATCAAAATTAGCTCCACTGCTCTCCAGTCAAATTAGGATACAGGCAGTCATAAGCAGCAGACAGGAAAAAAGCAAGGAATTGCTGGTCTAGGTCACTTGGTCTCTTTTCTGTGTCCTCAAAGACTCTATAATAAAAGTACCTTTGCAAAAAAGAAAGCCATGTTTCCTTTTGATCGGCAGATCTGTAAGAATGACAGAAAAACAGAAACAAATCAGCCAGTATTCTAGTACCAAAACAGTCCTTGCACAAAGCATGGTGAAATGGATTTTTTTTTTTTTTGCTGTTGTTGAAATTTCCACAAATATATATAATAACTCAATGGGTTTTGCAGATTTGTGTGAAATATCTGTTCACAGATTGAGCTCCTAAACTAACACTGAAACAAAAGAGCAAGACACTTTAACGAAGAGCTTAATTCCGAAGTTTAAAGTTATGCTCAGGTATATAGAGTTCTTGCAATTCCCAAATTTTTCTTTCTTCTTATTTCTTACTTGGTTTCCACAAGGTCCTGTGCACCACAGTAAAAAAGCCCCATTTTGCTTATAAATATTTAAGTTTTGATTTTTAAAAGACATTTCTCATTTATACACTTTCAAGAATACAAAACCATGCAGTTAAACAAAGTTAATAATAGAACTACATGATGAATCTAATCTAATTTTGCTTCAACTTTCTTGAAYTAAATCCTGCCTCAGAAGGAATTGCTGCTATTCTCACTACTGCTTTTACAAACCAAGTTCTTCATTTTCAGAGAAAGAATTTCAGAGCAAGGAACTGCAAACTTAGTGAATGATGTTGTTGCAGGAGTACATGCTTTATATATATCAGAACTGTGATTCTGCTTTAGTTGCTTGGTCCAGTTATCCAGTACACTAGCAATGAACTCACACAGGGTATTTTAGTTTTTCTACTTACCCCCAGATATAAAGTAATTTCACCTCTTTAAAATCCCTGATTCCCTTTGGACTGAAGCTACTGTGTTCATATCCAAATATATTTTGGTAGGTATAAAGGATCASCTACTATCTCTAGATCAAAGCTCGTGTTTATTAGCAGTTCAACTGAAAATCGATAGAAAATTTCAGCTTTGTTTCAGGTCTATTAAGTGAAAAAAAACCATAAACAGCACAACCAGCTCAGTAAACAGCAGTTTGTGTGCAGTATTTTGTTGCACGGGGACAGTGTGACATACAAATTAAGCTGTATGCCTCAGCTTTTGTTCTCTGTTGGGAAAGAGGAAAAGGCATTTGCCAAGACCCAATCAAACTGCTGTGGCTGACCACCTGGGAGTTAAAGAGGACGGTGCCGTCCCTTATCCAAAGCGATGAAAAAGCCCTCTTGCTGAGAATAAAATTTGCCGAACGACTGAAATTATCTCTGTAGCCCTTATGTGTCCTACAGTTAACACTGTACCAAAAATCTTTCCATTAAAATTCAGAGATTCTGCTTTAGGAAGGTTTTTGGCATGTTCTCTGGCACAATTTAATTAAAAAGAGAAGTAAGAGAAGGTCAGTATTTCATTGCATGTTTTCTGCTACTTCCAATACAAGCTCTTCTGCTTAAGAGCCCTACAAGGGTCTCTTTGATCCTCTCATGATCTTGGCTGTTTACACTTTCTAGTGCAGCTCATTAATTAACCAGGGGAGTTGTCCAATTACACTAAAAAAAAAAAAAAAAGGAAAAAAAAGAGAATTCCCACTAAGCAAATTTTCAACACAGACAGTGCTTTGCCAAATCACCTACTTTTTCAATTTTTTAAGTGGTGAGTGAATAACATTGCCATATTTCCAGAGAGAAGACAAAGCATGGAGGGTGACCTGTTCACAGGAGTGGGAAGAGTTGGTTTAAGATCTAGCAAGTTTTTACATCCCAGGCTTGCATTCACAAGTGCTGAAATGCATCTGTGATAGCTTCACTGCCTGTCTGCCTTGGTAACTTGATAAATAAAACACATCTCAATCCTTACCTGAAATTCACCACACAGTTTGTGGTGGGCCAGCCCAAAACAAAGGACCTTTCTGGGTCTGTGCTGCCCTCACAGACTTCTTCTGTACAAAATGCTGTCCACATCTCACAGAGACGTGCTTGGCACTTCAGTTTGAAATGAGAATGTGACCTGCAGGCAGAAAACCACAGGTATGTCACACACATGAAAACACAGCAGGACAGGTTAGCTCACAATTTCTTCTTCCTTAGGACCCCTGTGAAATTTGCTTTGGAGGTGATGGAAGAAGCACTCTCTCTTTGCTAGCGGCATTAAAGTTGCATATTTAGATATAATTTCTGATCCAAATGCAATCATCAAATACATTATTTGTGGGAAAAGCAGTTTGTGGCACCCCTGGACACCCTGCTTCTTGAAAAACTTTTCCCTATGTCTGGAGTTCCCACTTGGAGTATGAGCCAGGACTTCCTGTATTCTCAAAATATTTACTCATCTACAAGCAGGATGCATTACACAATTTCCCCCAATTATTTAGAGTTATCCTTTCCTATATTTTATCCTACTGAACATTATACTAGAAGTCTATTTACCTATTTTTACTATTTTTATTTCAAATCTTTGCTTTCATTTAATTTCCCATGGTAAGACTCCATTCTTGATTGGATCTGCAGTACCTGTGCTGTGTGAGAAACCATTAAAATCCCACAAAATTCACAGTCCAGCTCAGTAGCAGGGCAACAGCCAGTCACTTCCAGGCAGGTTTGCACTACGGGCCTTGCAGACTGAACTACCAAATGGCTTTCAAGTTTTTAATTCGGATTCTGCTGGGCCAGCAGGGAAAGGCTGAAGGAAAAGTGTCCTTTCCATGAAAATGCTCTTGCCTTCTAACTCCAGGGCTGCAAACAAGAGCATGTCAGCTCATCACAGTATTGCAAATGTGGATGGAGACAGTACGAGGCACTAGGGTGATTACTGCCCTGTAAATAAATATGTCAGGTAAGCAGTTCCTTACAGCTTTGCTGCACCTGGACTACCTTCTTTGAGATTAATCCCATTTACAAGGCATTTGATTTAGCACAGACTGGACTATTTCAGTCTGAAATGTGGAAGTATTTGAACCTGTGGCTAGGAAGAGGACTTGGATGAATGTTCTGCACCATGCCAGAGCTGAGATTTTTAGGTGACCCTGTGTGAATAGCTGTGTATGGAAAGAGCACCACTGATAACCCAGCAGCTACTACAGTGATGGTAAAAAAAGACTCTGTGAATGTATCACCTGATGCTGGCAAAAAGGTACCCTCGCATTAGATCACTATCAAACACTGTCAAATTTACGTATCTTTAAAACAATACCACGGTGTTTCCTGGTCAGCAGTATATTTCATCTCTCTTTGATCTATTATGTTTTGTTACTCCATCAAAGAGAAGTTTAAAACACAGGAGAACATTTCAATATGGTCATCAGCAAATCACGTTTGTGATGTAGCAGGTRAAATCTGCCAAAAAAGACAGAAAGACCAAAAGAAAGAGCACTATAGCAGACTGATTACAGAACAAACAGTGAAAACGCAGATTAATAAAAAAAAAAATGCAGACATGAATTGTAATTAGGCAAATGTTAATAAATGCATGCCTGGCCTGATTCCATTGACACGACTACAGTCATACTGGGAATCAGCCTGTCCAGCCTGCTTTCTCCCTCCTCTTCTTTCTTTCATTATCTAGTCCAGTGAACTCTCTACACGCTGATTCCCTTTAACATTTACAGTTCACAAAGCCAGAGCCCTGCAGTGCCAGTAGCTGGTGTCRGCAGGGTGCTGGCAGAAGCACGGAGACGTTCTCCCAACCACACTTGATGTATATTCTCACCCTGTTTGCCATGCCCAGTCGCAGCTCTCGGCTATCATCAGTATTCAAGTGGCCTGGTTTCCAGAGGCGCTGAAACAGTAGCTGCCATTAACATCTAAAGAGCCTAAAGTATAATTTTATCTCTATCTGCCATGTCTTTTATGCAATCCATGAGTTCTCAGCATTTGTGCACGAATCAAAGCACAATTTTGAGGAACAARTGTATCATCACTGGTTAAACAAGCAGCACAATTGAACATTTTTTAAAAAATTAAACAACTAACAATCTAATGAGGACGATTTTATTTTGTTTTTTAGGTAATAGGTCCCACACCATTACCATATATCAGGAAACTTTCCAGATCTCACAGAAATCAACAGTACAGTTATGAACATTAGTGGTGTAGGGACTGATATATCCCAAATTCTCCTGCCAAAAGAGTAAATTCAGTTCCTTTTCCTTTCTGTAAGTGGCAATTGGATACCTTGCAGCTGTAACAGATGGAAGATTAACTTCTCACTAGATTTGCTAATCTCCTTAATAAGACTCTCTAACAAAAGCATTAATGGATCYATTGGGAGATTGCTACCGTAATTCCAGGAGTTTATTCAACCATTAATTTCTAAGTCCAACCTTAAATCGTACATGTATAAGAATATATATATTAAGAATGAGGATGAGGAAACTTTTTGTTTGTGCATCCTAGAAATTTTGATCAATGGACAAGCCCATGAAATACTTACTTGCAACAACTGCCACATTAAAACACATGCTGCCTGTGAGAAATCTAATCAGTAAATAGAAAACAGTATAAAAATGCACATACTTAACATTGGTTTAGTGAGAAAAACTCTTTCAATCAACTCATTTATGACTTAATCCTCATACGAAGAGAGTGAAGAAAGATTCAGTAGAGAGAGAAGCACAGCATGTAAATATTATTCTTATTTTTATAAGAGAGGCTAACGGACGAAATGAAAAAGTAACAGCCTACTTTTCCAAAAATGATTAGAAAGCTTTGGATAATGAACCTACAGGCACCTTGTCCAGAGTGCCCAGATCAATTGTGTGCCCAGATCATTCAATGGTAGCGATGCAGATTCCTTTCAGCAGGAGCTCGGCACCCAACAGGAGTTTATCCAGYAAGCTCAGAGGCCTCAAAGCATCAGTTGCTCTTTAGAAGAAAACCTCCTACCTGATCATACAAAGTCTAGCAATAAATGAGTTCCCTTTGTACAGTGACTGGCTACCTAAGCTGGGACAACACATGTGTTACAAGGTAAAGGGATTCCAAAGAGTAGTAATTTTTCAAGTGAAAAAAGAATTCTCTTAGCACATATATGCCCCAGATTGAACAATTTCTTAACACAAAAGAGCACTACAAATTTTTAGCACCTTCACCAGGGTTATTTCTGAAGGTAAGTCAGATTCAGCTGCATCATTAGCTCAGTCTTGATATTATCYTGGTGACCTGCTGTCTTGATTCTGCATCAGCTATTCAAAAGTCAGTAAGAATCAATAGTTCCTGCTGAAGAGCAATGCACACTATTCAGATTTTCCCTCTAGGAATCAGCAATGGTATTTTATTACATGATATCTTTTGAAAATGCTGATTTTTAAATAGCATTCATTAGTGACGGCTCTGATGCTTTAACTGCTGACAAGGCAGCTGTAGAGAGAACAACCTAATCAGTTCTGTAAAATGCACAAAGTAACATCATTCAAAATGCTCTTTTTATCATTTCTAGCAAACCCTTGTTTCTCTTCCTTTTTGTTTTCACATGCAGAAGCACAATTTGTTCTGTTCTGCCTTCTTCAGAAATTGCAGACTCTCCCCCACATTTAATCGGGAGCAGTGAGAGACTTTATTACTCCCTGGGCATGAGATTTTGCAGTGGTTACAGAGAGTGGTGCTTTCCAAAGCAAATAGTCCCTCTGGGTCCCAATCAAACGTGCAGTGATGTACAGCTCAGCCCAGAGCTCTAACATTGCTTTTGCTCAGTGTGCTGACCAGGGTTCCTCAAGGGAGAGATTCCTTTCATCTGCTTTTACTGTGCAAAAAAATCAGGACTTTAGGCATAGGCTAGCCAGGCTATGCTCCTTTTTAGTCAGTGGACAGAGCAAGAGACCTCTCCAAGAGCACAGATCTCCTCACGCTCCCTTAGCACCTTTTCAGGTCAAGGTGAGTTGCCTGCAGCAAGATCCTACTTTGTCTCTSGGTGGCTATAAAGGGAGCCCAGAAAGCTAATCAGATGTAAATATCTGATGTTTGAAAGCTTAAATAACATGAGGCGAGTCCCATCTAAAGCCAAACACAAACATAAATATGCAAACGAAACCAGTGTACAAACCAAATGTAAAGATCCGCAGGATTTAACCAAATGTGAAGATCCTTCTGTCTGCCGCCTCACCAGTAGTAGAACATGTTTTTGGGTAAAATATCCTCCGTGTTGCCACACCACATAAAGTGAAGGAGCTCAGCGGGGAGGAGGGGGGTGAGGGGCTGGATGTTTGCTGTGTGTGATTCAAATGGACACAGCTCAGATTTCTACAGAAAACACGGATTTACACTGGCTTTTCCCAGCAGCCTCTGAGACAGCTGCTTAAGCAAGAAGATGCATTGCAAAAGCTCAGGATTCACATTGAGATTGCCCACCCTGTGACACCACGAACACTGTGCCTAACAGAGAATGAAGCCACATCAGGATTCTTTATTATTATTTCCCCTTTACCCATAACAGCAAGTGAAAGCACCCTCTAAAATTGCCTTAAACCACAAATGCTGCGTGGAGCTGGCATGCTAGACACAGCTTGTAAATCTGATTTAATTGTGAATGGTAGAGTGAATAATCAGAGCTCAGCAGCAAGCCTGATTACCCATGGCACTCCCCAGGCTGCTCCGCACTGCTTCCCTTTCCCTCGCCCTACTCCCCCTGTACAGCCCACAGAACCGGGCTCGGAGGCACCGCTTCCCATCTCCATTTCTATACATACAGCTCCTTGCCATGTCTGTTTCCATATGTACAGCTCCTCTCCGCTGCAGTGCATCAAAGCAGACACGTGGTAGAGCCTGGAGCCTCTGCGTGACACAGCCACCCATGGGGCATCCACTGCAAGGGCTGACAACGACCCGGCCAAACCAGAACAGCCAGTTCAAGGCAGCAGGTAGGGGACTGTTCAACACCGATGAGTGTCTTCTGATACTCGGATTCCCAAGGAAGGAAATATTAAAAAATTCAGACTACCTGCTACTGCTCTAGTATGTTGCATCCCAGACTTCAGGGCTATCGGGTTTTCAAAAGCACCTAACTTTCACTGGCCAAATATAAATGATTTTAGGAAAAATCACTTATTTTTGTGATTTTAGGAAAAACCACAATGTGATTTCAGGAAAAAAAGAAATCTGAAGAAAAAGCATTAAGGAAGTTCATATTACACTCTGCTGAGAAGAGCTGTTCCATGGAAGTGCTGCCTGGGCTGCCATACTCACTTGGACTTGGCAACAACCAGGAGGTCRGTGAAAAGGAAAAGGTGTCGCTCCTGGGTCTGCAGGCCTGTCTTCAGCTGCACGTGGCCATCGAGGATAAACATTCGGTTGTGGCACATGAAGGACTGCACGAGGGGACAAGCCTCTGGGCTGATGGGGGAGAAACAGCCTTCCCTGCAGAAGGAAACAAGAGAAAGCAAATCAGCCACTTGTCAGCGAGCGAGAACCAGGCAACGTCTTCCCACATCCAGGGCTAAAGGCAATTTATTTGGCTACATTTTAGTAAAAGAGCAGAGGGGCAATGAGTATAATCTAACTGTTTAATCCCACGTCAAGTTCTTTTAAAGACTTTCTTCACTGAATATGTTACAGTTCAGGCACATGAAATTTGTCCTCATTTTCTTAGACAAAATACCGCATCTTTTGTAGGCTCTCCATAAAGCCAGAAGAAATATATATGATGTAGACATATTTGTATGCCCCCTTGTCAGAAAAAGGCATGTTCTTTGGGTTAAGAGCAATTTTTAAAATTATTCAGAACCAAACCCAAACATAAGTGCAACTGAACCTTGCTAGAGATAGACCACGTGCCAGAAGCAACACAAGGAAAGGCCGCCCAGCCTCTCCCTTGAGGCACACATCTCACAAGCACCAAATTCAGCCCCGTGGCACGGCCAGGCTGGGTGCCCTGGAGCAGGGCTCTACTCACACGTGCTCTTATGGGGCTCTCTGAGGCTACGGGAGGCAGAGAGTGAGAAAAAGCTGCTGGAGTGAAGGCTGCTGCATTGCATATAGGAAGGTTTTGGCCTGTAATTCATGCCAGGCCAGTCCTGACATATGGACTAAAGTACAAATATTTGATAGCTTCTGTCTAACATTGTCTCATTATAGAAGTCTTATTTTTTTCCTCCTTGCACTTCCAACCTCATCACAGCCTTGATATGAGATACTACTTTAAAGGTCCTGCCAAGGTAGTATTTTAAGCCTTCAAGACCACTGGAGCTAGCACGTCAACACTCTAACTGCAAACTTAGGTTAACAGATACTTTCAGGCTCTCCTGGAAGATGCTGATCTTTCTAAGGAGGTACAGAGTAGATTGCAGCCAGTGCGACGTAGGATTACTGACAATAGAGACAGGCTTCCCTCAGTCCCTCCTTATTTAACAGGTTTGCACAATATAGTTAAATCATTACTGAAACAGAAATGAATGACAGATTTTCGCTAGCATGATGCTCAGCTCACTCACCATGACAGGACAACCCTATTTCTCATCCTCTCTGTATTGTCTATCTGTCTATCTGAGTCTATTGGCAGAACTGAACACCTGAGATGGTCTGAGGGGAGCACTCTCCTTCCAAAGGAGCAAGCTCTCCTTTTGGAAAGCCAGAGGTGTGGGGTCAAATTCTCCCAGACAGATAAGAGAATTGGACCTGGTCCCTATAGCTATAGCTATAACCTAAAACCAGCACACACCACTACCTTTTTCTAGCGATTCTGTACAGGGAACTCTCCATTTATTTGTTTTCCTTACGGGTGTCTCCAAATGAAAAATTTCCTTTAGGTTGAATGGATGTTGTATTCAGTTCTTCTTTTTTCTTTTCTTTTCCATGATGTACTTATTTAGTTATTTAGTTTTTTTTTTTTTTTTTTTAAAGAAAAACAAAGATAAAATTTTGCATCTTCCCCTGTCTACTCATTTTTTATGTCAGGAACCAGGCTGGAAAATCCATTTTTTGCAGCCTTTTCAAATTCCTCAGAAGGTGGTAGGAATTTGACAGTCTCATTGGGCTCAGGTCCCTGGCCCTGTGGTCATGTCAGAGAAGGCAAGGCAAAAAGGGATCATTTCTCAGACAGCTCCCTCCTTAGGCTCCCACTGACTCTTACCCAAGCATCTCTTGTCAAGATAATCACCTCATGCTGTGTGACTTCATGTTTTTCTACCAATAAATCAAACTTGGCAAAGAAAGACTGAATGGACAGTTGAGAGATAATAGTTTATTCCTAGTTCCATCAGGAGTTTGAAAAATTTCTAATGACTTTTCTGGGAGAGGATCTGTATCTTTAAAATAAGAGTCACAAAGCACATGGGAGAGATGCTGAAGGCAGCAAGAGAGCAGACAAAATCTTCAGAGAAGGTTACAAACCTTTCTGCATCTAACGTAGAACTGGCTGCTTTTCCACCCTCCTCTCCTTGCACAGCCCCTTGATGCCTGTGGCTGGATTACTCAGCCGATTTAGGAAATCCTGACAGCTGGCAGAGAAGGGATAAGCTCTGAGATTGTCCTGTAGGCCAGTTAACAAGACACACTTTCACTGGTCTGTAAGGAGTCGGTGGGGATCTCCACCTTTTGCAGAGGTTCTCTTTTTGTCCTGGAAGGCTGAGTTTTTGAAAGAGTTCCTCAACTTGATGGGAAGTTTCCCTCCTGTCTTTAATTACCTACTTCTTCAGTCAAGAGAGAAAGGAGGAGGAATGACTTTCAGAATGAATAATTCAAAGTTATTTGATCAGGAGTGCCCAGCAGTGTGCAGGTTAAAGCAGAAAGAAGAGTTTGGGTTCAAAGCAAGAGGGTGAATATGCTACGTGGCCAGCAACATGAGTAGGAGCAAACAGCAAGCACCTCTCCTACCCCTCTGTTTTTGCATAACTGGTTCACCAGTTCACCAGTCCATTAAGGGCTGATTGCTCCTGGAAATTCAATTTCATAAACTCCTTACCAGCCCTCTACCCAGAACATTTCAGGAATGATGCCCAGTTTATCAAAGTGAAACCCATGCATGGCCTTTACTCAAGGTTAAGAGGAGGAAATAGCTACTTCCATTCAAGCCCTGCATCAGACATGTTTAGTACAAAATCTTTCACATTTTGTTGCTATCGGCTAAACAGTGGAAACTTTTATAAAAACATACTGCAAGGCCTGCCCCTGGTGATGTCCCTGTAAATGCATGCCCGTATATCTCAAACTCAATTTGATCGGTCTTGTTTGCCCATTTCCTACATCCTGATTTGTCAGTCTAGGAACTTCACAAATAAAACTAATTAAAATTGGTCTCATTCAGGGAAGCAAAGGAAAATCCAGCATGTTTATTAATGCCGGCAGAGGTCAAGCAAAATGAAGGTGGTTTTAGAAAATGAAGTAACAACATAAACCAGTTATTTGAATGAAGTCTGCCTTTTGATTGGCCAGCATCTGCATTTCTGCCTTCTGAACTGTAATAAGCACTTCCATGTGCTTTAATGAAGTTTACCTGAAAACTTTAATCGAGAAAAATGTGGCAGTCTTTTCTCCCTTTGAAATAAAGCTAAAAAAAATCAAAACTATTAATTCAACCAGAATCTGCTATGGTCCTATGACTAAGAAACATGGGAGAAAATTCACGAACAGTTCAAAGCCTGGTCTGTTTTGATCCTCATAATTAATGTTCTATTGTTACAAGACTTAAATGAAATTGAAGTTCTATTACACTGAAGAAAATACAGATCAGCTATGTCCTCAGGCCTGGGGACTTATATGACAGGTAATTTTGAATTTCAGTTTTTAATGGCTCACCCATCTTTCAGGCTATTAAACGGGACTTACTTGGAAATGTGTTAAGGACTAAAATATTCTTTGAAAAATCCTTTTAATAGAGTTATGCAAAAATCAGAATTTTAGCCAATGTGATTTTTGATATCCTAAMAAAAAAAGTCAGTTATCTAAGACTTTCTCTGCCTTTTCTATGTTCTCCTAAAAGTCATTCTATGATTAAGATATAAATAAAAGCTACAAAACAACAGTCACCTTTCCACCTTGACAGGAAAAAGAAAAGCCTTCATTCTTGTTTCTTGAGAAAAAGGAACTGTGAACTAAATTCTGAGAGACGGATATCCTGTGGAGTGAGCCACGTTCCATTCTGTATAGAAGCAATGCTAATACCAGGACTGAGATAGCCCTGCCAGTGGAACTCGCTATTCTCAAGTGCATATTTCTTCCTGAAAATACTATTTTTGAGTTTGAAGTTTCCACGCATGGCTTAAACAAGAAGTTGGTCCTGTAATTTGGAGGCATGCACAGAACTATTTTGAGTTTTTCAGGCATAGATTAAAATCACTGCATTGGCTAAGAAATATAATTTGAGTTTTTCTTCTGGCATTTCCACAGCCTATATTTTAGCTCTATTATTTTTCAAATTATCAAAATAGACATCTGTACAGAGTGATTTAAAAGAACTGTTCAATTTTGTTGGTGTAGCATGTGAAGCTGAATCAGCCAAACATTGAAAAATATATTCCCAATGCAATTCAGCATGACAGCAAACACATCAGCACTCACTTCATCATTTCTGTATTTACTAGACACCACAAAAGTACAAATAATACATACTCTTCCCCCTGCAGAGCCTGCTTGGGGTTTCAGAGTAAAGCAGATATCTTAATGGCGTGATACCAAGGTGTTTATTTAATCCTCACTGCAATGGAGATGTTAGCTTTAATGCCTATTGGTAGTGGAACCAATGAAGGAAATCAAAGAAATCAAAGACTCTTCAAGACAGAGTCTAACAGTTGATGTTAATTTGTTACTAAGTCCATGATCCAAGTGTCATTTAGGCCAATGGGAAGCTTTGCATTGGCTTCAGTGGATGAGGATTTAAGTCTATCTATGACTTAGATTAAACTCTAAGATGCCTCAGAGGAACAATCTGTTCCAAGGCACCTAGGCTGGCATGAGCTATTGCAGGTATCTCAGCTAAATAACATCCCTCTCACGCTCCATCCTAAAACTCATTACGTTGTTTTGGTTATTGCTTTCAGGGGGCACTTCCCTCCGCTGCTGCAGTCCTCTGCATCCACCAAAGTCAATTTTCTCTAATGATGCAGGCACCAACACTCTCCGCATGCCCAGGATTTATTGAAATAAAGCACTTTGCTCTTTACTTGTTGAAGCCCTTCACAAAGAAGGAGCACCATTTAATTAAGAGAGCAGTAAAACAGACACTGTTTGAAAGGCTGGGGCCTGAATCAGCCCAGCAACATGAGAACCATGTATGCTGCCTTTCCAAACTGGCACCACAGTGAAAAGCTTAGCCTAAACTCATATCAAACATAGGTACCTCAAGCAAATATATCATGTAATTGTGCCAGTGCCAAAGCCCACGCAAATACCCAGTGGTTTCTTCCAGTTTTGTGCCTACACGC